ACGCATTATGGCAATCCCAGCTAAATGCTGCTAAATAAATTAAATTGAATTTATTTAAGATATGAGGTGTACTGAAAAAGTTAAATGAGACAACCAACATTCTCAGATAACAAATTATGGTCTTTGGTGGAAAAACATTAATTTTAGAGATGTATTATTGTTAGTTGATTTGCACTATTGTTTGCTATTTAAAATGTTGTAAAAGCTTATGTAAACAATTGACTAATGCTGTCATTTGGATGCTTGTCCCCTAAGCCTCCTGTTGAAATTTGATCCCCAGTGTTGGAGGTGGGGCCTAATGGAAGGTGTCTGGATCACGGGGGCAAATCCCCCATGAATGGCTTGGTGCTGTCCTTGCAATTATGAGTTCTCTATTAGCTCCTGCAACTGCTCATTACAATGAGCCTGGCACCTCCCTGCTTCTCTCTCGCTTCTCCTCTCACCATGGGATATCTGCACAGCCAGCTCCCCTTCACCTGTGGCCATGAGTGGAAGCAGCCTGAGGCTTTCAGCAGATGCCCTATCTTGAACCTTCTAGGCAGCAGAATCACAACCCAGATAAGCCTTTTTTCTTTGTAAATCACTCAGTCTCAGATATTCCTTTACAGCAACACAAACAGACTGAGACAACTAAGTTTAACCACTTTACTTTTAAAATTAAAAAATATTTCTGTAGGTATTAGAACATGGTTTTCCTAGTTTGGAAGAAAACTGCATATGAAATATACAACCAAAGTGAAATTTCAATGAAATATAAGGCAATTAGGACAATGAAAGGAAAATATGTGCATGACAGTGACTAAGTTCACAGTCAAATAATCTCAAAACTAATTTCTACAGAGACTATTTTTTGACTGTTACAGATTGAGGTATTAATTGATTGAAGAGAAATTTGAACAAGTTTAACAACAAACTGTCATAATATAATAGTGAATTTCTGTTTTTTAAATAGACCATCATTGAAGATTTTGAAAAAAATAAGAAATACTGTATGAATATAACTATGGCTTGAAGAAATAGTAAAAAAAAGAAAAACACATCATGAATGATAGTAATTTATATGATGAAATTCAAATATTTTATATTTTCTGTGATAATCATGTATCATACATGACCCAAACGCAATGTTTAAACACAATATGTAAAACTGAATGCAGTCATCTTTGATAATTTGCTTACTTTCAGTCCCGAAAACCACAGCTTCCCACATATTTTTCTATTTTGTCATTACAAAGGTAGATTTGTCAATGCAGAAGGATGAAATGCATTTTATTCAGCAATGTATGAGCTTGATTTATAATTTTTAAATATATAGACATAGAGTATGTGGGCCACCATTCATACTCTTGCCACAGATGCTAGGGACCAACATGAGCCCAGCATCCCAACCACAAATACATTTCAGAACTAGGCTGGTGAGCACTAAGAATAAGGCGTGAGGAAGCCTGATTTAATGACAATAATTCCCCGTCAGGGCTAGGTGACTGGCATGTGCCACACCAAAGGCAAGAAAGGGCGGGCCCAAGAGAGGCCTAGGAATGGTTGATCAAGAAAGGAGGCTGCTGTCCCTGAAGCTGGAATATAGTTCAAAGAGGTGGTTTCAAGGTCAGCAAAGGACAGCTGCAGCTCAAGGGAGATCTGCAGGACCCAGAGGGGCAAACACTTCCCTCCTCCTACGGCCAGAGAAGAGGGGCACAGATGTCAAGGCAAAGAATCAGATGCAGAAAATGCCTTGAGGCCCCAAGACAGAGATCAAGCTTGAATCTGACAGGCTTCCCTACAGAGGCCCGGGGAGCAGGTGGCACAGGGGCTGGAAGTGAGGGCCCCAGCAGGAGCAGACAGGGTCACAGAGGAAGCATGGCTGGTGGAAGGGCCCAGGTGGGTGTGTGCACAGCCAAGGACCTGGGCCAATCCTGGCCAAGGTCAAGAACCCGGATGGGCTGAGTTCAGAGACCCGGACTGTAATTGAGCTGAGGGAAAGAGTAGAGTCCAGTAGAGAAAGGGAATTTTGTTCTTTGTGTGCCAGGAGCAGCTTCCCTCGACCATGCCTGCACTTCACAGCCACAGGGTGTGGCCTGGGTGGGTAGGAGCAGAGATAGGATGTTTCTGTAGGAGCAGGGATAGGATGTTTCTGGTCCTGCAGGACTGTGGGGGTCTGAGGCAGACTAATTGGTAGCTACCGAGAACAGCTGCAGATGAGTTTTCCCTGAATCCTTGGAGAAAGTGGGTGTCCAGCATCTATCTAGTCAAGCTCCTTTCTTTTCTTTCCGAGAGGAAGGGAGCTCCCTTCTCCAACCAACCTGAACAACCTGGACTCCATTCTCTTCCTTTCTAGATTGAGGAAGGATCTTAGGTCAAATTCGTGATGGTTTGAAATAAGTATAAAGACCGAGAGTCCAAAAGGACTGCCAGTGCAAGGCAGTCTGTTCTCTCTCATTCCTCGGGTTCTTCACCTTTAGGTCCTCACCCAAGGTTCCTCCTTCCCTGAGTCAACCCAGAGGGAGGAGAGGATCCCCACACACTGTCACTCTAGACAGAGGCTTATTTCCATCGCATCTGACCTGCCAGAAGCAATAGACTCTCAGGCTTTTCTTTTTCCCCAGGTCAGACACAAAAGACTAAGTTAGACATTTCCCGAAGGAAACTGACTACTAGGGGAAAAGTCACATCAAAAGCATGATAGTACAAGACTGCAGAGATGGATGTGGCCATAGGGAATTATTTTTTTATTTGGGCAGAATCAAATTCCGCCTCAGGAGATTCAGCTGGCTCTAGTGTGGATGCCAAGTTATTTCTCAAAGACCCAACCTTGTATGGCCCCTGGGGCTGAGCGACTCATTCCACCATAGCAAATGAATTCATGATGTGGGCCCAGGCTGCCTCCTGGCCTTGGGCTGAGATGTTGGTCAGTGCTGCATGGCATGAGCCAGCCTAATTCCCAATGAAGGGGAGGGAATTAATTATTAAGGACCTACCAGTTTGCATTTGGGTTTTCATTTAAACCCTTCAACAAGCAAGACAGCTAATATTTGGCTGGTATGAGATCTTGGTTTGACCCAGTCAGGTTTCAAATAGCTATGGAGGAGACTGAGAAATCTTCTAGGAAAAAGAAACAAATTGACCATGCTCACAATTAGAATGCAGCTTTATTCAAACACATCTAGAGGAACTAGGGCACCAACAGAAGTCCAGACTCAAGAAGGGGCAGGTGATAATGCCCAGTGCTGGTGAGGGACCATTACACGCTTTTGATCAGTGTATAATTTGGTGCAGTGTTGTTTTTTATTTGTTTTTTTGTTTGTTTGTTTTGAGATGGAGTCTTGCTCTGTCACCCGGGCTAGAGTGCAGTGGCGCGATCTCAGTTCACTGCAACCTCCGCCTCCTGGGTTCAAGTGACCCCAGCTTCCCGAGTAGCTAGGATTACAGGTTCCTGCCACCATGCTCAGGTAATTTTTGGTATTTTTAGTAGAGATGGGGTTTTACCATCTTGGCCAGGCTGATCTCGAACTCCTGACCTCATAATCTACCCCCCTCGGCCTCCCAAAGTGCTGGGATTACAGGCGTGAGCCACTGTGCCCAGCCTGGTGCAGCGTTCTTGAAGGCAATTTGCTGTCATTAAACATTTGCACACAGATACTCTTTGACAGCAGTTTCACTGCCAGGAATTTATTCTACAGATTTACAAGTACGCAAACATTTGTGAACAAGAACATTCACTGAAGTATTGTTTATAACAGTAAAATAATGGAAACAAATGCCCATCAGTAGGGGACTGAGTAAAATACTCTGCATCTATTGAAAAAATGAGATGAATCTATATGTGCTAATACAGAACAATATATAAGATAAAAATGAGAAGAGTAAATTGCAGAAGAACCTTGCAATACTATCCCATTTGTAGGTTTTTAAAGAAAACTGACTACATATGGACTTACAGTGGAATAGAAAATATCTGGAAAGACACACAAATTAATATTGTGTATATTTATAATTGCATATATAATAGTGGCTATCACTAGGTGACTCTTACTTTCTTTTTAATTGTTTTTTGAGACAGGGTCTCCTCCGTCTCCAAGGCTGGAGTGCAGTGGCTCCATCATGGCTCACTGCAGCCTTGACCTCCTGGGCTCAAGCAAGCCTTTCACTTCAGTCTCCGAGTAGCTAGGAGCATGCTCAGCTACTTTTTGTATTTTTTGTAGAGACAGGGTTTTGCCATGTTGCCCTGGCTAGTACTTCCTATCTTACATTTTTCTTTACTGCTTTGAATTTACTTTTATGAACCTATATTACTTTTAAAATAGAAAAGAAAAAAGTTAAAGAAGGAATTAGGGACCAAAAAGAGGTAATTCGTCAAGAAAAAAAGGAATTTACCAAATGTATCCTTAGACGTCAAACTCAGCAACAGGACCTAAAGGCAGGTAAGCCATGGTAGCTGATTGATGGACCCTTCCTGACCAGCTGACATGGCCAGATGAAGAGGGTTTGCTCTCACTCATCAAGCTCGACTTCCTTGAGACCCAAGCGGTCTTGCTGGGGGGCCCCAATAATGTGGCTGAGGAGAGTGGTGCCCTTTCCCATTAGCAGCAGACTGTGGAGTTGTCAAAGAACAGAAGGGTAAGCACTGGTAGCTGGAGCCCCTGGCAAAGACTGGCGCTCATGGAAGAGTCTGGAGGCAGCAGGCATTGGATCTCCAGCAGGCTGGATCTCCAGCTTACTTACCACCAAGTCTTGGTACACTGGAAGTGATGGCAGAACTGCAAGTATCCAGCAACAGCAGAAGGAGGCAGACATCAGAACTGGGCTAGGAATGTACGGTGGGGGTGGGTAAGACAAGCTTAGAGAATCTCAGAAACACTTGAGGAAAAGCTATCAGAGACTGGAATGTCTGAGTGAGTACTTAAGCAATTCAAATTAATGATATTCAGGTTTCACTCACTCATCTGATACACTGAGCTCTTATTATATGCAAGGCACAGTACCAACCACAGGAGATACAGCAGTGAGCAAGGTAAACACGGAATTTATTAAGTTGAACTGGGTGGAAATAAAATTTCCAATATTCAACTTTTGGGGACTTATAAAAATGGTAATTTCTTATGGGTCAGCATGAATACATTCTGGCAAGAGAGAAAGAAAATAACAACGCATGACCCAATTAATTGCTTGATTACAATTATGAAAAGAGCTATCAAAGAGCAATCCGATCTGATTCAGTCGTGTGTGTGTGTGTGTGTGTGTGTGTGTGTGTTGCCAGCCAAGAAAGGCTTTCCTATAAGGAGTTACTTTAGAGGAAGTGAGGGTGAAGAAGAACTAACTTAGTGAAAGAGAGTAACAGAGATCATCCCTAGCCAAGTCAGGTGCAAAGGGCGTGAAGGGTAGGAGACTGGCATTTTCCCGGGCCTGAGAAGGTGGTGACTGCCTGCAGGGAGACGCAGGGGTGGTGGGATAAGGTCTGGAGAGAAGGGGGAGTCGAATCAGACAGGGCCTTGTAGGCCATGATAAGGACTTTGGCTTTTATCCCAAGAGGTTTAAAAAAACACAATGGTATATTATTTGTATCCAAAAGCTGGCAACATCCAGGGAACATTCAGGTTACAAAAAAATGTTCTATGCCCTTGGTACAGATGAGCCCGGAGGTTCACAGCTACAGGGGTAGTATGTGGTTGCGTCAGGATCAGAATCTAGGTCTTTCCAAAGAGCTTTCTCCACCCTGGATGCCACTGGGAGGGTGGTAGGGGGGTGAGACAGGCGGGGAGGCCAGGAGACTCTCTAGGAGGAGGCCAAGGAGGCCCCGTGCGCCGGGTGGCAGCTCAGTGCCCAGCAGCAGTCCTGGCGGAAGCGGCGCACGAAGAAGCATCAGATGAGTGGGTCCAGGCAGCTGTTGAGGCTCAGCAGCGCCAGGCTGAGGGTGTGCAGGATTGTAAAGCGTGGAGGCGGCGCGACACCGGTCTCCGTCGCTGTCCCGCCCGGCCACCCTGGGCGCCAGCAGCAGGTGGTAGGGCGCCACACTGAGGGCGAAGACCAGCAGGAGCCCCAGGACCATGGTCTTGGCCGCGCGCGGGTGCGCGCCGGCGCTAGCAGGGCCCGGGCCCGAGGGCGCCTGGAGCGCCCGCGCCAGGCTCACGTAGGCCGCGAGCACCAGCAGGAAGGCGGCCGGGAAGAAGGCCACCGTGACGGAGGCCAGCCCCGAGCTTGCCCAGCGGTGCTCCTGGCAGGGAGGGACCAGGCCCGCCAACCAGGCGAAGGCGCAGGCAGTGCGCGCGGGGCGCCGGCGGCGCAGGCCAGGCAGGCAGCCGCCCCGGGCCCGGGGCAGGGTACGGAGCAACAGCGGCACACGCTGATGAGCGCGGCGAAGACCACCGCGTAGGTGGACACGTAGTAGGTGGACACGTACTAGGCGGCCCCAGCCGCGCGGCAGGCGGCCTCCGGGCCAGGCCCAGGTAGTAGATGAGCCACAGCTGCAGCGTGAGCGTGAAGCGCTCATCAGCCAGAGCCAGGTTGAACAGGTAGAGAAGCAGGGCCTGGCCCAGGCGCCCGCCGCTGCGGATGAACACTGCCAGGGCAGCCACGTTGGCTGGCAGCCCCAGGCCCAGCGCCAAGGCATAGGCCGCGGGCACCACGATGAAACGAGCAGGGTCATCCCAGAGGCTGCAGCCGCCAACACCCAGGTCCCCAACACTACTGTTCATCTCTGACCTTGATGTGGCAGAGGAAAGGTTACTGCGGCGGCTAGCCACAAAGGCAACCCCCATTCCACCTTCTCCCACCCCAATCTCCTCTTCTTCAGCCCTTGTGGGGAGGGGGCACTAGAGGCAGAGTCCATTGTAAGAGGGAATGAGGACCGAACCTGGCCAGCAGCTGCTGAGAGGGGATGGACTCCGGAGTTTTGGTGACAAGCTGTGGGAAGCGAGGAAGAGGCAGGAGTCCTAGATAACTTGGAAATTTCCAACCTTGGTGACTGAGAGGGTAGAGGTGCCCCTCACAGATAGAGTATGGTTCATACATGTTGGGGCACAGACCTGTGCAGTAAACCCACATAGGGCTGAGCCAACAGGGAGTTCTGGAGAAACAGGTTGAAACATAGAGGCCTGTCCAGAAAAAGACCCAACTCCCTTGTCCCTGTGCCACCCAGATGAGAAGCATGGATGGAGGAATGGGCTTGTGGTGCAGTGACCCATAGGATAGGCCTATGCACAGTGACCTCGGACTTGCCTTGGTGAAGGTCCTCTCCCAGGGAGGTACCTCAGCACTTGCCTGGAGCACCCTTGGCTGGGCTGAAAAGCTTTTGCCACTCTGAAGCCTTCCATCCTTTTTCCTCCCCCCTCACTTTTTGACCACAAAGAAGTCCTGGGTCAGACTCAGACCTCTGGACAGAAAAGCAGAAAGTGCACAGGCCCAGCAATCAGGCAGATTCTAGATATACACATCAATTTGCCATGTGACCTTGGGCAAATTACTCAGCTTCACTGAGCCTGTCTTTGCTGCAGTAAAATGGAGATTAAAATACCTACCTCACAGGGTTGTTGGGAGGATTATGAGAAAACATAAGTAAAACTGAGCCCTGTGGCTGACATTGGGGAGATACTTCATTACTGTTAGCTCCCTTCCCTTCTAGGCAGCACATAGATAAATGTGTACACTCACACAAGCACACACAGAGTGTCAGAGACATAGACACCCCAGGCACACAAAACAACACAAAAACATCTGGGTATATTCCTATCCTCTTCCCAAGGGAGGTAAGTGTACAAATCAATGTCCTGTTACTATTTGTGACACACTTACACACTCCTAGGATGTCCTAAAACTCAGTTCTTCCAAAATCTGGATTTTTGCCTTTGAGCATCTCAGGCTCCAATCCTTTCTGAGACCCCGGGTAACTGTATTTCCTTTCCCCACTTCCTCTGTTCTGTTCTCCATGCCTGTAGCCCTACCCTGACCCATCCCCTGCCATCCTACCAGATTGTTCCTTTCTTACCTCTTGCTATAATGGCTGCTGGAGTTCTCTCTGGGGTCCTGACTTTAAGGATCTGAGACAGGGCAGAATCCCCTCCCACCCACACATCTCAGACCCTCCCATCGGCCAGCTAATCCCAAGAAACGACATGAAGAATGGGTCTGACAGCTGGAAGGGCTGGAGCCCACCTGTGGCACCTGTGAGCTGGGTTTCTGGGGCTGCAGTCAGGGCCCCAAGGGAAAGGAGTGTCATCGGAGGACAAGAGAGCCTTCAGCACAGGGAGGGAGATACAAATGCATTAGGAAGGGCAGGCAGCTGAACATCATCGTGCTGAGATGACCTAGATTTAGGCTGTAGTTTGGGGGGCACACTTCCTGAGGCCCGGCTTCTCCCTGGGCTGCTAGGGAGGCACCGCTTAGGCTCAAGATCCTCCTGCTGCTGTCAGTCCCAACTGCTGGTACACACCAGCTGCCCAGCCTACTCCTCTAGCACCCTGACTTTCCTGCAGCTGCTGGGCAGTCCTACAGCCAAGCTTGGGGGCCCCAGTAGCTGCTTATCAGCCTACAGATCCAGACTTGGTAAACAGGAGCCCTCAATCTAATGCTAGCTGCGAGAGGTTTTACTCCAAGTCCGTCCTGGCAGGAGACGGGCTGGCAGTGGCATCCTGGAAGGGGTGGAGAAAGTATAAGGCCAGGATCCTTGGGGCTCCAGGCTTTACTTTCTTGGGCTTCAAAATTTCCAAGCAAGATGGGCACAGTGGCTAATGCCTATAACCCCAGCACTTTGGGAGGCCAAGGCGGGCAGATCACCTGAGGTCAGGAGTTCGAGATCAGCCTGGCCAACATGGTGAAACCCCACCTCAAAAATAATAATAATAATAATATAAAAAAATAAAAAAAATTCCAATCAGAGGGGAAATGCTGGAAAGCAGGACAGATTTCATCACACCAGACAGGTCATCCCATCTACCCTCAGATTGAAGACAGCAGGGCTGCCATGCCTGTCCATTTTCAGCTTTGGCAGCTGGTGCAGTGAAAAGTTTGGGTTCTGGAATCAATTAGGCCTTAGTTCTCGTTCCAGGTCTCATATATAGGCACTTAAGCTTTCCAGATGCATTTTCTCAACTGTAAAACAAATCAATATTTAATAATGGCTAGCATTTACTCAACATTTACTATGTGCCGGGCTATGAAATAGTTACTGTCATTATTCAGTTTTCAAATAAGCTAGTAAGTGACAGAAACCATTGTCTACTTCCTCTTCTTCCTTGCTGACCAGTGTGGGTAAATCTTAACTAGTCTAAGTCCATTATGGGAATTCCATTCTCCTGCCAGTGATTAGGAATGGAAATGGGACATAGTTCTGCCCAGTGAAATCTATGGGAAAATCTAGGGTCTTCTAAAGCACCCTTCCTCTCTTTTCACCTTTCAGTATTATAGCAAATGCACTATCTGGAGATGCTGCAGCTATTTCGCAACTCTGAGGGCAATAGCCAATACACTGACAGCAGCAGAGCAGAAAGTTTAAAGAATGTTGATTCTTGATGCCATCATTAGGCAAATTAACCAACATTGAAACTGAAGTGGTTATCTCTGAACCTCTTACATGAGAGAAAAGGTTTCCTTATTGTTTTGACATTACCATTTATTTAGCGTAATCTATCTATCCTTACTATAGGCAGACTGCACCACCATGCTTTCGGACTCAAGAATAAAAAAAATCCAACTGAGAGCGTCACCTTGCCTGAGGTTCACTAGTCAGAATGGGAATTAGCATTTTGTAGTGAACATGAAATGGAGTAATAGAGACTTCTTTTACACCCTCAAAGCAATCTGTAGGCTGATAGCTAGAATATTTGCATAAGTGAACTGTTTCTCACTATGATCCCTCATGGGAGGTACATCACTTCCCAAAAGCCCACAGCCCTGCCTAGCTAAGATAAAGATGGTGGTGACATAATAGCAGATGCCCTAACGTGTTGTCCACTTTTCCCCCAAGAACTGTCACGCATATGCACCCTTCCTACCCCCAAGGACCTCTGGGATTCCTCCCAGGCTTTGGGCCCTGCTGTACCACTCAGCATTTCACGGAGTTGGCTGTCCCTCACCTCCATGTAGGTGTCAAGGAACACTGGACTGGGTGCCACACATCACCACCAGAGCTTGATTTCAGGTCCTGTCAAATGACTCAATGCCAACCTGCTAGCTCTGCAAATCTAATATGTCAGAGAAAAAAAGGAGTGGGAGGGAATCTCTAATGTGGCTCAAAGGGCATAGGCAGAAGCAAGTACTTAAAGTTCTGCCATACAGAACCTGTACATTTTAAATATGTATTAAAAGCCTTAAAAATATGCATGTGTTTTGAACCAGCACCCTTACTTCTAGGGGAAGAAAATAAGTATGCAAAAGAGATTTACTGTGAGGCTTACAATAGCAAAAAATTGAGAAAAACCCAAATGTTCCTCGTGGGGGGTGAAATACATTATAGTACATCCTTACAATGGAATACTATGCAGCCATTAACAGCAATGAGGCAAAAGAGACATGAAACAGTGTTATAGTTTATAAGGTTTTAAAAGGAGGGAATAAAATAGGATATATGGTTTTATTTTCATTTAAAAAAATATGTATCTGCTTAAAGGCACAGAAAAAAGTTCAGAGGTATACTAACACCAAGGCATTAAAAGTGGTTATTTGGGGCATCAGAATTTTGGTTGATTTAAATTTCTTTTCTGCTTATTTTGTATTTTCGTATGACATGAGGAATGTTAATATGCATAACATGTACTCCTCACAAAAGAGTAGTAAAGCTAAAAAGAGAAAGTAGGGCCAGGTAGGTAAAATGTCTCTTTCAACACTGGCTGACCCTGGATATTATACTTGCAACAAGATGACAGACTCTGTGTTCTACCATATTTCTGCTGTGACAGCTGCACGGCATAAACAGGCAGAGATGCTCTACTTCCAGGATTCCTTGAATGTACTTAGAGTCTTCTTCCTAGTGGGTCTGACCACCTTCTTAGTCTGGGCTAAGAGCTGGCCAACATTCAGCAGCAGCAGGAACCCCAGGCAGACGATGGCCGGGATACAGGTGCTTAGTGACTCTTTTAGAGCTGCCAAGGTGAAGATAGCCCCTGGAATGGAAAGTGAGGTCCCTGAGGCTCCTTGGGAGAACCCAGGAGATCCAGGAGCTCAGGGCTCTCCAGTTTAGGCTGATCCACTCCAGCCCAAGCCCTCCCATTAAACACCCTCACCACTCCCAACGTGCATTACCAAAACTAACTGCATTCATCTCTAGCCTCCTGGAGAAAGCAGGACCAGGAAATTAGAAGCCTCTTGAACAATAGCAGTGGCAACAGTTGCCCCTCTCGGAGGACAAGAAAGAAACAGAAATGACCCAGCAAAATAGGGCAGTGGCTAGAGTGGATAGATTTTAGGAAAAAAATCTCCCTGATCCTTCTTTCTTTCCTCTTTCTTTTTTTCTTTCTTTTCTCTTTCTTTCTTTTCTTTCTCTCTTTCTTTCTTTTTCAAGGCAGAGTTTTGCTCTGTCACCCAGGCTGGAGTGCAATAGCATGATCTCCTGCCAGCCTCCTGAGTAGCTGGGCTACTGGGTTCTGGGTACTGGCTTCAAGTGATTCTCCTGTAATCTCCTGAGTAGCTGGGATTACAGGCGCCCGCCACCACGCCCGGCTAATGCTTGTTTAGTAGGGACGGGGGTTTCACCATGTTGGTCAGGCTGGTCTCGAACTTCTGACCTTGTGATCCGCCCACCTCGGCCTCCCAAAGTGCTGGAATTACAGGCGTGAGCAACTGTGTCTGGCCCCTTCTCCTTTCTTAATCCTACATCTACTAAGATTAAGATGGAGGGAAAGACTAGCCCAGCAGCTGCTGGTTGGAGGTATGGGAAAGATCTGAAAATGAGAGAAGCTCCAGAGATGGAAGCAAGCCTGGTAGTGGTGGCAGCAATGGTAACAGATGCCAGGGCATATAGAAGAGCCTGAAGATATCTGGCCTTTGAAGCAACAGCTGTCTTTGTACATCAGCAGTTCCTGTGGGCAGAGCTACTGGTGGCGGGGGGGGGGGGGACTCCCTCGGGAAATTCTCTGCCTTCCTGTTCAAGGTTCTCCAGCTTCCCTGCTCTCTACACCAATCTGCCAGACACATACATCAAATGGCAGCTGCTCCTCCATCCCCTCATCCCAGAAGTGGGTGTGTGGAGGAAGGAGCAGAGGCACTGCGCTTGCAATACATCTTCACAAGGGAATACCATGCAGCCATTAGAATTGAGGAGGTAGAAGGTACACTTAACATGTGATAATGTTCTAGCATATTAAGTTTAAAAAGTACCTGTGCTAGTTTGAAGACTATGGAAACTGTAGTAGAGCAGGAAGTGCTCTTGATCCCAGAGAAAAAAGAAGGGTGGCAACAGTAAGGGGCAACAGCCAGGTCTTTCCATCATCCTCCCCCAGAAAACCCCATTTTCTCAGGCCAGTTGGCCCCCTTACCCATCATGAGCAGGATCAAGAACAAGTTACTGATCTCTTGCAGCATCGGTGGGCCCGCGGCCAGCAGCAGCCCAGCCAGCAGTTCCAGAAAGCCCACAGCTATTTGGTAGTTCAGGGGATCTGGCTGGTAGCCAAATACCTTCAGCGGGAACACCTCAGCAAACTGCACGAACAGAGCGTTCTAGGGGTGGCAAGGAATGCCTGTCAGCCTCATGCTCACCAAGGAGGAGCTCCCCAGATGCTCCATGGCATATCTATGCCTGTGCCCTCAACTCCCCAGAGAAAAGAACTACTACTGTAGGTCAGGTCCAGGCCTGAGGTCAGCCTGGAGGGGAGAGGGCTGCCCTGTGGCGCTGAGCTTTGGAATCAGGAAACAGGCTCCATGTTCCAAGTGGTACAGAGATAGATTTTTCTCACTAGACCTCTCGAGAGATTACAACCCAGGCCAAATCCCAGGAGGGGGCTGGGCTTGGCTCCCTAGTGCCAAGGCCTGGGGAATGCCACAGTTTGCTTCTTTGTGCCTGGCCTGGTTTCTCTTAAGGCTGTTGTACAGGGAATATTTGGAGGTGGGGAGGAGTTAGGTGGGCTCAAAGTGACTCTTCTTGTCAAGGCAGGTCCACCCCTGAGCCAAATGGCAACTTCACCCTTACTTTCGGGGTTACTTTTTCCTGTTCCCACTCCTCAGCTCTACCTCCCCTCCTCAGCTCTGCTGGGCAGCAGCTCTAAACTATCGTCTCTGGGGATGTATCCAGGCCTTGGAGAGAGATGCCAGCAGGGGTCTACAAGTCTAGCTCTTTTGAGGGACTGGGGAGATTGGTGAACAGGAAATGAAAGCTTTCCCGTGAGTCTGGAACTAGACAGAAGGCTGAAAGACGACTTCAGGGCCTCCCTCTCAGGCTTCCAGGAGAGGCTTCCCTTTCTGGGTTCCGAGTTAGGAGTGACTAGTTTGTGTCCTGCTTCCTGACTAGATGTGCAACCTTTAGCAGATATACTCGCCCTTCAGGGCGGGCTTCCTTCCCTGCAAAGCCAGGATTACTACACCCCAACCCCACGAACCTCCCGAAAACTGAAGCAAACGGCGAAAAGGGGGAAGACAGCGCGGAGTGAGCTCATTTTCCCGCTGCATCATCCTCTCCCAGGGTCCGGGGAGTGGGGAGGAGGGTCCTCCTAAGGCTGTAGATTTGCCTGGGGCCACCAATGCTCAGCAGGAAGGGGAGGTTCTGTCCCCTTCCGTCTAGGGAAGATCCAGAGAACTCGAGGAACTCCCCAGGAAGGACCTGCGCCTCAGTCGAAAGCCAGGCGCTTTCCCCCATCTCCAGCTGAGCCTCGGAAGCCCGAAGGCAGCCTGCCGGGCCGGCGGGAGCGGCGGGGCGGAGCACACGCCTCCGCGGGCCCGATTCCCGGCCGCCCGCCCGCGCCGCTCACCATCCGCTCCGAAACTGGAGCCGAGATCTCCTCCGAGAGCTTGGCCAACCCCACGAGCGCGAAGAAGCCGCCCAGCAGTACACGCAGCACCGACAGCAGAAGCTCCATGGCCGCGCTCCCCGCACCGTGGGTTGGCCCCGCCGAAAACCCGCCTCTGCCGCCGGCTCATTTCCTCCCTCCCTGGGGCGGCCGGAAGACTCGCCTGAGCTACCATCCCCCACCCTCCAGGGGGTCGCGAGGCTGCAGCACTGGAGCAGGGCGCCCGCATCCTACAGGTGGGGACACTTGAGGACCACTGGCTCGTAACTGACTAAACCGACACCTTTGGATTCAGGGAGTGTTTCCCAGCCAGTACGGAGTGCTGGCAGACATGCATGGGTGTCTGGGTGCGGCTCAGCTACCATCAAAAGACCCCGGGGCTTCGTTCCTGCCTGTGCCCTAGTAGCTGTGGGATCTGAGCTGTCACCCGACCCCAAAGGGTCTCGGTATCTGCATCTGTATACGGGGAAAACTCAGTTCTCCAGAGTTTGTAACAGGCCTAGCACAGTGCCTGCACATGTAAGAGCTCAGAAAGTTATTTGTAAATTAGTAAATTAATTTATAAAATTATAAGTAATAAATCAAAAACCATTAATTATTAAATAAGTCTCTTTTCTATCTTTGCCTGAGGTGTCTTTTCCCTCTAATTTATCTCAGCTGAGACTGAAATGTGAAAGGTGTTTGAAAATTCAGATACTTGCAGCCATGGATAGAGAGACTTTCACTGAACCAAGCCCTACAGTCCACTCCTGGCCCATTTGCTCTTACCTGGAAATCTGTCTAAAGCTGGGATGGGCAAACCATGGGCCAAATTTGCCCAGCTGTCTGATTTTTTTCCATGCTTCTCCCCTTCCCCCAAGCTAATAATGTTTGTTTACATTTTTATAATGAAAACTTTTTAAAGAAGCTTGTGTGACATAGGAAAATTATATGAAATTCCTATTTCAGTGCTCACGAATAAGTTTTATTTAAACACAGCCACACTCATCTGCATATTGTCTGTGGCTGCTTTTGCACTGCAACTGCAGAATTGAGTAGCTGTGACAGTATGGCCTGCAAAGCTGAAAATATTTACTATCTGGCTCTTTATTTAAAAAGTTTGCTAAGCTCTGGTATATTAGGCCAGAAAGCCCCCAAGCAGGGGTCTCAAACCCCCCTACTGCTTCCATTTATAGTTACCCAAGCTGCTTAGATCTGTCTTTTTCCAGCTGGGCATAGTGGCTCATACTTGTAATCCCAGCACTTTGGGAGGCCGAGGCAGGTGGATCACTTGAGGTCCGGAGTTCGAGACCAGCCTGACCAACATGGTAAAACCCCATCTCTACTAGAAAAATACAACAGACAGGTGTAATGGCACATGCCTTGTAACCCCAGCTACCCAGAAGGCCAAGGCAGGAGAATTGTTTGAACCCAGAAGGCAGAGGTTCCAGTGAGCCGAGATCACGCCATTGCACTCCAGCCTGGGCAACAAGAGCAAAACTCCATCTCAAAAAAAAAGAAAAAAAAAAAAAAGATCCATCTTTTCCACCTACTGACAACCTTGCTGGGGTAAGTAGCTGGTTGGCTGGAAGACTGAAATGTTCCACTCGCTTCTAAAGGCCAAGCTGTTTCAACATTCAGGTTGTGCTGTTACATTATAAACTGGGCCTCTCATTACCTTCAGTCTTTGTCACTAATCCAAATTTAATGAAATAACTAAATTTTCTACCCTGGATTATAATTATACATAATTACTTATAAAAATCATAATTATTAAATTCCTCAACAAAAAGGGAAAAATTATTAAAACATTTAATCACTGAAAACACAAATCCACATTAGGAAATTATCTTTTAGGATACTTATACAAAACACGAGATTATTGACTTCGCTATTAAGCAATGTGCATATTGCTACTCTTTTTCCTTCATTAATTTTTCTATCCTTGGAATTAAAGATGTGACTGCAAGTCTTAGGGCAGGGCCAGAAACCAACAGATTTCTTTGTTTTGACTCAGTCAAAGCTGAAAAGGCAGCATCACATAAATAAACAGTTGAAAAGGGTAATAAAAATTTCATTGCCCTTTCATGGAGTTCTGGGTAACTTGTCTTTGCATTTATCCAAAACTGAGTTACAGACACTGATTTAAATACTGATTGTAATCCTAAATCTGAAGATAGCTGTGTTAGCTTTTCTTCTTCGAAGTCGGTGAGATTATTATTTTGGTGATTCATAAAAGGGTTAATTATCCACAAATTTCCTGAACGCAAGTCTTGTTCTGGTGGAAAACAGTCACTGAACACTTGAGAAAGTCCTTCCAGGTGCTCAAAAATAATCCTTGTGATCTCTGTCATATTTAAGCCTGATGAATTTGAGAATTCAGAAAATGAAGGGAACATGTCATAGTCATTCTCTTGTGTGCGCTTCAACCACATTTTTAACTTTCTCTTAAATACATCAATTTTATTACACAAATTGAAGAAAGTAGTCAAAGTTCCTTGGAGACTTAAATTTAATTCATTTATAAGTGAAAATATATCTGATAAGTAGGCCAGCTTTGCAACCCATTCCTCATCATGAAAATACTTGGTCAAATCTGAATGCTTTTGACTTAAAAATATTTCAATCTCATGTCGTAATTCAAATAATCTTTTTAACATTCTCCCTCTTGATATCCAACGTACTTCAGCATGAAGCGGTAAACTCACATGCTCAGATCCCATCTCTTCACACAAAATTGTTAACATACGTGAATTCAATGCATTGCTCTTTATAAAACTTAGAATTTGTGCTGACTGCAAAAGAATTTTATGTAAACATGGAGACAACTTTTCTGCCACTAAACGTTCACGGTGAATAAAACAATGTGTAAATGCTGCTGTATTCATGGCAACTTCTTGAATTTTTGCTTTTAAACCAGAATACCTGCCAGTCATGCTTGCAGCCCCATCGGTACAGAGACCAACACAATGTTTCCAATTCAGAGATTTACTATCAATATATTTATTTATTAGTTCAAATATTTCAAAACCAGTTATTCGAGTAGGCATTTCAATGCAAAATAATAATTCTTCTTTTACATCACGACAATCATAATCAATGAAACGAATATAGCACAAAAGAAGTGTGATATCTGAGATTTCTGATGACTCATCTATCTGCAGGGCAAACCACTTTGACTCTCTGACCTTTTGAATCAGCTGGTCTTCAATGTCTGCAGATAGTTCGTCAATCCTGTGTTGAATTGTAACATTAGAAAGTGGGATAGTTTTCATTTTGTCTCCAGCACTTGAACCCAAAACTTCTGAACACATTTCTACTAAATATGGTTTAATTAATTCTTCAGCAATGGAGAATGGCTTCTTGCTTGCAGCAGTTTGGAAAGCAATTAAATAAGAAGCTTTCACAAGTGACTTTTCAACTAGTAAACACTTTTTTATAGAACTATTTTGACATTCCATTTCTAGAGATTTTTGTTCAAAAAAATCTACTGGTTTGTTTTCTAATTCTGAATGTTTTGTCTTCAAATGATGAGAAAGATTTGCTGGCTTCATGTTTTCACTGGATAAGATCTCTCCACAAATGACACACTGTGGCCTTGGTGAACTTTCTTTTGATCCAGGACAGATAATAAAACCAACTTTTAAATATTCTGTATCGTAAGTCTGGAAAAAACCTAATCTTTTTTTCTTTGAAGGTGGAGAATCAAGTTCTGCATCATTTTTTTCATTAGGCATAGGTAAATCTGAATGAAATATTTGAATCACTGTTATTTTCAAGAACAAATAAGCAATGTTCCTTATGTACCTCCCCACACATTTAAAATTCATATTTTGTTACTATTTCTATTTATCAAAAGAATGCACTGATAAAAGTTTAAGCACAAATCATAATATTTCCAGTGATGCCACTGACAACTGAATTTCTCCTTTGCCCAAAGCTTGATCACTAGCTATAATAAAACTGTAGGATGTGATACATGTACAAGTAATCCCAAGCACCCAATAGGTTATTGAAATGAGGGCGAAGACCACAGTACACATCAAATTAACAATAAACTTTTTGGCTGGGCACGGTGGCTCACACCTATAATCCCAGCACTTTGGGATGCCAAGGTGGGTGGATCACTTGAGCCCTGGTATTAGAGACCAGTCTGGGCAACATGGCAAAACTCCATCTCTAAAAAAAAAAAAAAAAAAAAAAAAATTGGCTGGGGGCAGTGGCACACGCCTATACTTGGGTAGCTAAAGCAAGAGGATCACCTGAGCCCAGGAGGTTGAGGCCGCAGGGAGCCAGGATCACGCCACTGCACTCTTGAGACTGTGTCTCAAAAAACAAAAAAAAAAGAATAAATTTTTTATTGGTGAGTGACACTGGTATCAAAAAAATTTTTAAAGAAAAAGAAAAAAAAGGCAGGCATGGGGCTCACACCTGTAATCCCAGCACTTTGGGAGGCCAAGGTGGGCATATCACCTGAGGTCAGGAGTTCGAGACCAGCAAGGCCAACATGGTGAAACCCCCTCTCTACTAAAAACACAAAATTAGCCAGGCATGGTGGTATGTGCCTATAATCCCAGCCACTTGAGAGGCTGAGACAGGAGAATTGCTTGAACCCGGGAGGCGGAGGGTGCAGTGTGCTGAGATCACGCCATTGCACTCCAGCCTGGGAGACAAGAGCGAAACTCCATCTCAAAAAAAAGAAAGAAAAGGAAGAAAAAGAGAAAGAAAAATAATGTTTTACTTGAAACAATCCAGAAAAAAAAAAATATTTAAAAAAGGTAACATTTCATTAATCTAGATGAAGAGTATACTAGTGTTGACTGTACTGTATACTCAACCTTTCTGAATTTTGATACTCAGTGTCAGTGAGGTTGTAGAGAAATGGATCCTCCTGAACACTGCTGGTTGGAGCATACATTGATGTGACTTTTCAGGAGGGCAATTTAGGCAACAGGTATCAAAAGCTTTAAGAATAGATGATAGGCCAGGCACAGTGGCTCATGCTTGTAATCCCAGCACTTTGGGAGGCTGAGGCAGGCGGATCATGAGGTCAGGAGTTTGAGACCAGCATGGCCAACACAGTGAAACCCGTCTCTACTAAAAATACAAAAAAAATTAGCTGGGCGTGGTCACGGGTGCCTGAATCCTATCTACTTGGGAGGCTTGAGGCAGGAGAATCGCTTGAACCCGGGAGGTGGAGGCTGCAGTGAGCCGAGATCGCACCACTGCACTACAGCCTGGGCGACAGAGATAGACTCTGTCTCCAAAAAAAAAAAAAAAATCGATGATAGTCTTTGAATCAATAATTCCACTGATTAGGATTTATCCTAAGGACATAATTAGGCAAGTGGACAAAGATCCATTAACATAGCTTAACCCAACATTGCTTATAATATAAATATCTAAATTTCCAACTTTACGGAGTTGGTTATATTATATACACTGAATTCTATTTTAAGAATCTCATACCCAGGTAACAAATCTGCACATGTACCCCCTGAATAAAATAAAATAAAATAAAATAAAATAAACATAATAAAATAAAAATTGGAAAAAAAGAATATCGATGTATATTTAAATTTACATTGATGTGGAATAATGTTTCCAATGCAATGTCAAATGAAAAAATAATTTCAATTGTTAGAAAACAATTCAAGATTTATCATTTTAAAAAAGATGGAGTTTCACTCTTGTTGCCCAGGTTGGAGCACAATGGCGCGATCTTGGCTCACAGCAACCTCTGCCTCCCAGGTTCAAGCGATTCTCCTGCCTCAGCCTCCTGAGTAGCTGGGATTACAGTCATGTGCCACCACGCCCAGCTAACTTTTGTATTTTTAGTAGAGATGGGGTTTCACCATGTTGGTTAGGCTGGTCTCAAACTCCTGACCTCAGGTGATCCGCCCATGTTGGCCTCCCAAAGTGCTGGGACTATATGCATGAGTCACTGCATCCGACCGACAATTCAATATTTAATCTAGAACTCAAAACGTAAGCACGCACGCGCGCGCACACACACACACATAGATGCCCACAGATCCTTCAGTACTCTCCATGTGTGAATGTTTTTTAATATAAATTCAAGTACAAAAATATATTGTTTTAATAGGAATATAAATTTCCTGAGGAAGGAAAACAGGATTCTCCTTGACTTCTACCAAAATAAAGGTACCCTACATAAAAACTTACTACTTGTTGACAGACTAAGCTTTTAAATACAGCGTATTCTATGAAGTAAAATTATTATTAAAAACAAAAATCAGGCCGGGGGCAGTGGCTCATGCCTGTAATCCCAGCACTTTGGGAGGCTGAGGCAGGAGAATGGCGTGAACCCGGGAGGCGGAGCTTGCAGTGAGCCGAGATTGCGCCACTGCACTCCAGCCTGGGCGACAGAGCGAGACTCTGTCTCAAAAAAAAAAAAAAAAAAAAATTAGCCAGGTGTGGCGGCAGGCACCTGTAATCCCAGCTGCTCAGGAGGCTGAGGCAGGAGAATCACTTGAACCCAGGAGTTATAGGGAGCCAAGATCGTGCTATTACACTCTAGCCTGGGCGACAAGAGCGAAACTCCATCTCAAAAAAAAAAAAAAAAAATCAATGCTTTAGGCACAGTAGACTATTAAATCAATTGAAAATCTAAGGGTAGTTGGATTAAAAGTAATACTTTACAACTTTTTCAAATATAAGCTCAAACAATTTTCACGGTCATCAATACCTCAGATAAATTAGTTGTACTGTTAGCAACTGACAATTGAATTTGCAGTATTTAAAAAAAAACAGGTTAAATCATTAATGCTTTCAACTAAAACTATATGTTAGTAATTATAATAGCTTGTTATAATAGCTGGTTATTAGTGTTAATAATTATGAAAGCAATAAATTAAGTATTTAAAGTATGTGAGCCAAGAAAAGGAATGTTTTCACATTTAAGAATCTGTCAATTATTTTCTTTCCTTTTTTAAAAAACAGAAACAAACAAGCCAGAAAACAAGCTTTGTACATGGGAACACACAAGAATACATACCTGTCTGACATTCTTTGTGCTGTGTATGTGGTTTGCAAGAAGTGGCCTTGGTCTGTGTGACGGGTTTGCAAGATATGCCTTTGTTCTTTAAAAGCCTAGAAGGCTGGGAAGATTGGGAAGACGGAAATTTCATGGCATCTGCCTGTGTACTTTCCTAGTTAAAAGCAAATTCAGAAACCGCAGAAAGATTTTTTTTTAGTATCTTATCACTGACTATAATTGCTATCAATTGAAAGTTGATATACATCAGGAGAAATACAATTCCTCTGAAAGAGTGGTTGCAATAAAAAAGTCACCTTGGAAAATACACACAGATTCCTACTTCTCCCAATCAGCATTAGTTTAATTTACTGATTTTAAAAAAATTTATAAACTATAAATATATATTTATAAACTATAAATATAAAATTTATAAATATATATTTTTAAAATAAGTATGATCAAAACAATGAAAACAATTGTTAATCTTGCTGATTAGGACAACTGGCTACTCAGAAAAATTAGATCCAACCTCAGACCATACACAAAAATACCTTCCACATCAATTAAAGATCTCAGGAAAAAAAAAAAAAAAAAAAGAAACCCAAAACTAAAGTCACTAGAGAACTTTCAAATAACCAGATCACAAAGTATAACCAGATCACAAAGTATTCTTTTCTTTTTTTTTTAGAAGGAGTCTTGCTCTTTCCCCCAGGCTGGAGTGCAGTGGCACAATCTCGGCTCACGGCTCACTGCAAGCTCCGCCTCCCAGGTTCAAGCAATTCTTGTGCCTCAGCCTCCTGAGTAGCTGGGACCACAGGTGTGCGCCACCACGCCCAGCTAATTTTTTGTATTTTTAGTAGAGACAGTGTTTCACCATGTTGGCCAGGCTGGTCTTGAACTCCTGACCTCCTGATCCACCCACCTCGGCCTCCCAAAGTGCTGGGATTACAGGCGTGAGCCACCGTGCCCAGCCAGGATCACAAAGTATTCTTAAATAAAACACAAAAGAGTCAATCAAAGTAGAAGGTTGATACATTTGAGTACCTCAAAATTTAAAACTGCTCAGATGATCCAGGATAATCTCCCTATTTTAAGGTTAGCTGATTAGTAACCCTAATGCCATTTGCTACCTTAATTCACCTTTGCCACGTAATGTAATATATTCACAGATTCCGTGGACAAGGACATGGACATCTTTGGAGGGGGCTACTATTCTGCCTATCATAATAAAGCTCTTAAAAAGTAAATTTTTTTAATCAAAAATAAAAACTTCTGTAAACAAAGGTCTTTACAAAACAAAGTTACAGGACAAACAACAGAGAGGAAGAATGTACTTAAAACATGTGTATTCACTCAGTATTTATTTCCTGAATGTTTACTACAAGCCAGGCACTGTTCTAAGCCCTGGAGATACAGCAGAAAACAAGACAAAGTTCTGCTCTTATGAGCCTTACATTCTAGAGGAAGGCACAAACAATAAACTAGTAAAACAAATAATATATAATTCTAGGTAGTGATAAGTGCAATGAAAAAAATAAAGCAGCGTACAGGAATGGAGAGTGATGGCATAGAGGAGGGGCAATTTCAAAGTAAACATCTGAGCGGAGATCTTTTGAATTATTCAAAAGAGTAAGCCATGCAAAGGCCTAAGGTCAGAAGAGTTCAGGCAGGAAGACTATAGGTGCAAAAACCCTGAAGTGGGAGAAAGCTTGGCATGCTTTAGAAACATCAACAAGAACAAGGCTGAAAGACAGTAAGCAGCGGGAGAATGATACATTTGGAGAAGTAGGCAGAAACTAAATTGTATAGGATCTGGAAGGTCTCAGTTAAAAACAAAATTACGATTGTATTTTAAATGTTGATGGGAAGCCATTGGAGGTTATATTTAAATTTACTTTAAACAGAAGTAATATATGAACTCAGTGCAAAATTCAAAAGGTATGGAAGTACTGCGTTGGTGCAAAAATAACTGTCGTTTTTGCAATTAAAGTAATATATACACGAATGACTGCCATCTACCCAGACTCAATCTTGAACACAACCACTGTTCCCAGTTTCTTATACAGTTGTTCCCCCTTATCTGCTGGGAATATGTTCCAAGACCCCCAGTGGTTGCCTGAAACCATGGATCATACCAAACCCTATATATACACACACATATGTATATATGTGTATATATGTATACATATATGGATATATACATATATCCATAATATATCCATATATGATATATACATATATCCATAATATGTATTATGGATATATGTATATATACATATATATGCATAAGATATATGTATATACTATATATGTATACATATATACATAATATATGTATATGTATATATATGTATACATATATACACACACAGATATGTATGTGTGTATATATAATTCCAGGTAGTGATAAGTGCTAAGTGTGATATATAGACACACATATATGTATATAGGGTTTAGTATGATCCATGGTTTCAGGCAACCACTATGTTGCCTGAAATATGTATACAGGGTTGTATATACATATACAATATATGTATATGTATACATGTTGTATATGTATATACATATACATACACATACATATATGTATATGCAACATATAGGCAACATATATGTATATATGTTGTATATAGGGTTCCATATATACACACTATATTTTTATACATATATACCTATGATAGTTTTATTTATAAATTAGGCATAGTAAGAGGTTAACAGTAACTACTAAGGAAATAGAAAAATTATAATATACTGTAATAAAAGTTACGCGAATGTACTCTCTCTCAAAATATCTTAATGTGCTGTACTCATCCTTCTTGTGACCTGATAACTGAGATGGCTACTGACTAGTGATGGGTAGTATACACAGTGTGGATATGCTAGACAAAGAGATGATTTACATCCCAGGTAGAATGGCATGATATTTCATCGTGCTACTCAGAATGGCACACAATTTAAAACTTATGAATTATTTCTGGAATTTTCCATTTCATATTTTCAAGCCACAGATAAGCGGTACTACTATATATCCTAGAGATGGTCTATGTAATTAAACAAAGTTGCTTCTGACTACAAAGTGTAGCCTATTATTATGAAGATTCAGAATCTTGCTCTTGTCACTTAGTAAACTATCTTCGAGGTCCATTTACACAACACTGTATAAATAACAGCTTTAGTATTCCATTATTAAATGTACCAAAAGTAATCTGAAGAATCCCTGATGAACATATCTAGGATGTTATAAATCTTTTACTGTTATAAACAATGCTACAATGAGTATGTTTAGACCTAAATTAATTCTACATGTGCTAGTTTATCTACAGAATAAAGTCTTAGAATTGTTGTTGGTGGGTCCCGAATACATAATGTTAATTCTGATGGTACTGCCACATTGCTCTCCATAGACCTTATATCAAATTATGTGACCATTCTCAACAGATGTGGGCCTTTCCCAGTATCCTAGTCAATAGAGTATTGCCAAACATTTTGTTATTTCTCAATACGTGAAAAATTATTTTACTTTAGTGTAGTTAGGTATTTTTCACGTGTAAGCATTATTTGTAGTCCCTCTTCTGTGAACTCTCAATTCATATTAATTACCATTTTCCTTTATCTTTTCAAAAAAAATTCTATGCATGTTTAACAGATGTGCCAAAAAATTCAAAGATTCAAATAATACACAATGAAAAAATAATTTTCCCTTTTAAAATTCTCCCCTAGTGATTCAATTATCCTTAGAGGCAACCACTATTACCCATTTATTAGTTGTCTTCCAGGGATAGTCTACACATATATATAAGTGTGTGTGTGTAGCACAAATGGCACCATATTACACAATTTTGTGTCTTTTTTCACTTATGATATTTGAGACTCCTCTATGTATGCATATACTGAGCTGCCACATTCTTTTTTAACAACTGTGTAATATCCGATTGTTAGGGATATATACTTTGTTCAGTTTTAACTACAGCCTCAACAAGGCCACTATGTATGCCTGGACAGCAACTCCACGTGCCAGGCCATATAAATAGGTGTGAAATTCAAAAAGGGTACATTTCAGACCCTGCCCACGTAGAGCTATTTTTTTCTAATTCACACAATAACTCAAGAGTGAATACACCACGGCCCTGACCACTGGTGAAATAATTAGGTTGTTTTCAAGCTTCTGCTACTACAAACAATGCTATGATTAAAATCCTTGTACATGCTTCATTTCATAAATGTACAAAATGCATCTGAAAGATAAATTCCTAAAAATGGAGTTCCTGGGTAAATGGTAGTTAAAATTTTAACAGGTTCTACTAAATTGCCCTCTGCAGCACTTTTATCAATTTACACTTCTACTGGCAATAAGAATACCTTAGCAGCGTTACCCATCATTTTTCTTTGCCAATCTGATTAAACCATAGTTCTAACCAGCATTTCTCTCATTTTGAAGTTAAATATCTTTGCATATGTTACTTTTGCCCACTTTCCTACCTGCATTTAAAATGATTCACAGAAGCTCCTTGGGGATTTTTTGTTTTTGTTTTTGTTTTTTGAGTCAGTCTCGCTCTGTCACCCAGACTCAAGTGCAGTGGCGTGATCTCAGCTCACTGCAACCTCTGCATCCCGGGATCAAGCAATTACCACCAGTGCCTTAGCCACCTGAGTGGCTGGGATTACAGGCGTGCGCCAACACACCCAATTAATTTTTGTATTTTTAGTAGAGACAGGGTTTCGCCATGTTGGCCAGGCTGGTCCTGAACTCCTGCCCTGAGGAGATTTGCCCACCTCGGCCTCCCAAAGTGTTGGGATTACAGGCATGAGCCGCCGCACCTGGCCCATAGAAGCTCTTTACTATTTAAAAAAACTAGATTTTTGTAACATGAGTTGTATGTAACCTTTTCATTTTGTCATTTGTCTTTCGATTTTGAAATATGGTTGAATTTCCCCATTGATTCTTTTACGGCTTCTGGGTTTTGTGACATATTTAGAAAGACTTCTACACTGTTAAAATTTTTTCCTATATTTTTCTGACTACATACTTACAATTTCTTAGGTCTTTCTCCATCTGAACTTTATTTTGGTCTAAATTGTGAGGTACAAATCTATATTTTCTTCCATGTGTCTACTCAGTTGTCACAACATTATTTATTAAATAATCCATATTTTTCCTATTGATCTGAAATG